GCTGAACACACCCAGCTGTTCCCACCTCAGGACCTGTGGATCCCTAACCTGGAACACTCCATTCCTATCACCTCATGGGTGGCTCTCTGTGGTCCTGCAAACCTCAGCTCAAATGTCACCCTACCCTCCATCTCTTATCTACTTAGGCACTCCTACTCCAAATCTACCATATTACCTGTTTTATTCTCTTCTCACGACTAGTTACCATTTTCTGTTCATTTACATGTGCCCTCTAGATCTCCTAGCAGATAGCCTATCTGTCTTATCTCTCCACAGCATCTAGGGAACCCAACTTACAGGAAATGTTCACAGAACATTTGTAAATGAGAGGTTGTTTAGCTGGACAGGAGAATGCTGTCTCCAGATGTTTACAGATGTGTTGTGAGAAGGAAGAGTAGTACTATTTGGTTTCCCCAGTGGATATAAACTGTGGACATTGGAGGCAGATTTCAGCTCCATATGAGAAAGAACTAGCAAACAGGGGTGCTCAAACGTGGTGGTGGGTGTGACCTGCCTAGGCAGGGGAGCTCCCTGCTGCTGGAGGCATTCAAGCAGAGGCTGGACACCCTTGGCAAGGATATTGCAATGCTCTGGACCAGGCTTTGCACTGGGCAGGGCCTAGGATAGAGGATGCCATCAAGTTCTCCTCAACCGTAAGAGCCTGTTACTGCATATTGAGCCTGACACTCCCCAGTGTCAATCTCCAGAGTGGGGACTGAGAGGGACTGTTTTCTGGATGACTTAGGTAGGTCCCACCTTTATTCATTGACTCTTGTGATTTTATTTTTATTGAAAAGATGAATGCCTCAGTGTAATGTTTTCCCACCTATAGCAGAACTCCTGGGAGCTTTGTTAAAAGTTGGATTCTGGGGCTTCCCAGTTCCATCCAATCAGAATCTCTGGGGCGAGGCTCAGGAACTGGGATCTGATCAAGCGCCCAGGTGCTCCTTGTGCGTCCGAGCATCGGAGGACCACTGTTTCTAGCTCTTCTGCCCCTGAATTACATGGGGAGCGCTGCTCCTAAGATGAGCTGTGGAGTCCCACCTGGTGGCCTTGACTTAACTGAGGTACTGAATAGATACAGAGAAAGCAAAGACTATTAAAGGAAAAGGAACCACCCAGTTCACCACCCAGAGCCAAGATTTCTAGAGGAAGTTGGGTACCCCTCAAGCTGGACAAAGAGGGGGTGCAGCCTTTGTAAAAAGAAGCACACATAGGAGGAATACCAGGATACAGATGAGAGGGGTATTCAAGTCAAACCCACATTCATTATCTCCCGGTGGATGTTACAGAATTGTTTAGAGCGGGGGAGCTAGAAGGACCAAGATCATGTCCTGCATTGTAAGTAACATGTTACAAAGGAAAAAGAAAAACCTCCTGGGGTCTATCTTCCTCCTGGACTCCCTGGCCTGA